ACACACACACACACACACACACACACACACACACACACACACACACAGTGGAGCTTTGGCTTGCACACTCAGTGCCAAGCACAAGGGTACAATGAACCCACATACGGTAGAACCTGGCTGAACTCAAAGACATCAGACTTACACCTCCTGGGCTATAAATATCTGAGCAGACAGCTGACAATGTTTGTAGGGCTCAGAGAAATGGCTCGGTGGCTAAAAGCACTTGGGTTCAGTTCCCAGCACCCATAGGTAGCTTACAACCATCTGCTTCAGTTCCAATGCCTGCAGGCCAAACACAAATAAATTTGAAAAAAATTTAGAAAAATTATAATTTTAGTCAAGTAAAATGTGAATGAAAATTAGTAAAATAATATCAATGAGGGGAAAGAAATTTTTTACATCCTTGTATTTTTTCTTTTTATTAAAAAATTACATAATTTAGGCTCAGTAAAAAATTCAAACAGTAGCAATGGGTACACACAAAAAATCCAATGTGCCCACCTCCTAGTCCAGGCTCACAAGCTTTACGTATCATTCTAGAAATGTTCTGTCTATGTACAAATTTATTTCTCATTGTTAAAAAATACACAGGACCACAATACATTGTTTTACAACAGCTTTTAAAAACATCATTTCAGGGTGTATTTCTATATGACTCCCGTCAGACTCACCCAGGCCAGTCTTGTAACGAGCGGCTACTTGGTTCAGCCAGCTGCCTGTGGGTGGAAACCTGGCTTGCTCTCCAGCATTTGACACATCCTTACACTGGGGTGAGTGCTAAGAACATGTTCCCTGGAGAAGGAAATACAGTTTGACTGACCCGAAAGGGGAGGGGGAGACTCTGATGATGAGCAAAGGCCTGCCAGTGGTATGGGGGGGAGAGGCGGGTGGAGCTGAGCTGAGCTTGGGGATCACTGAGGCACAGAGCCTGCTGCTGTGGCAGATCTGGTCTCCACTCAGCAGCTCAGGCTGGCTCGTGAGCAACTGCCAATCACTTCCAGGAGTCAGGACTGTGCAGAGAAAGGCCACTGATTCGAAGTGAGGGAGCCATCAAATATCCCAGTAAGTATCTCTAGTTCAATCTCATATTCACTTGATACCAGTAAAATTATTGAAAATAAACCTGAAGAGCAAATTAATCCATGAAGCCAACTAAACCTCTGCCCCAGAAGTGACTCCCATCCTCTGGCTGTTCCCGAGACATTGCCTGTTGATCCTGCCTAATCCCCACACTGCCCCAAACCTCAACTATTCCAAAATCCAAAATTCTGCCAGGTGGTATGGTGCACGCCTTTAGTCCCAGCTCTCAGGAAGCAGAGGCAGGAGATCTCTGTGAATTCAAGGCCAGCCTGGTCTATGAGTTCCAAGAGAGTCATGGCTACACAAAGAAAGCCTGTCTCAAAAAAAAAAAAAAAAAAAAATTCAAATTTTGAAAGTCATGTTGGATCACAGCTGTTCACCCTGAACTATGTTATAAACAAAAGGCGACTTCTATTGTTTAACTCCATCAGCTGAAAACAATCCTTTTAAAGAAAGGTAGAAAATAAGTCCTTGTGTGCTGACTTAAGACTGCATTACTCATAGAAAAAGTAGGAATACTGGGCAGTGGTGATACACACCTTTAATATCCCAGCACTCAGGGAGGCAGAGGCAGGCGGATCTCTGTGAGTTCGAGGCCTGCCTGGTCTACAAAGTGAGTTCTAGGACAGCCAGGACTGTTACACAGAGAAACCCTGTCTTGAAAAACCAAACAAACACACAGAGAGACAGAGGGAGGGAGGGAGGGAGGGGGAGAGAGAGAGAGAGGGAGAGAGAAGAAACAGCAGGAGCAGCCAGTCAGAATTTCGGCATTATCGCTAAAGCCTTCTCTTTCACATCCGCATCGTGGTGGTAAGCTAGCGCTCTCATCTTCTGGGCACAGTCTTCTCCGTACAGCAGGGAAAACAAGGAGCCTTTGGCGAAGGGCGGCTGAGCAGCCAAGCAGCCTTCCACCCTGAGGCAGTTGTTTAGGTTCTGAAACAACGTGAGAGCCCGGAGAAGAATCTCACTTGTTATTTGGCCATCATACAGGGAAAGAAAGGAAGCGTCCACCTGAAAGAGGAAACACTGAGTGTCATCTTGTATTTTAAAATAGTGTCGACTGGTTTCCATTTAGAAGTCTGATCTGGGGCAGGCAACCCCAGCTGCTAACTCACTCACACCCGTGCAGGTTTTCTAGCCCCAAAATGAGGTTGTGTTTGTTAGATAAAAGGTAAGATTTCTTTGGAACCCCAGAGAGATCCCATTTGAAAGACCAACCATTGTAGGATCCATGCAGTTTCTGTAAGAACTCATCAGTGCAACCAGTATCACCACCGCCCCACAGTCCGGGACCAGGGCTGAGTGGACGGCCCTGCTTTTGTGGGCGGGGAATTTCAGACCACTCTGCGCCACTGAGGCCACTGGGGCCAGTTCTCTCCGAGACTGCTCGTTGGTTACGGGTTTGAGTTCATGAGGACGAGCGCTGTGTACTCGCTGGTCTGGGCACTCTGCCCAGCATCGAGCGCATGCGGGTGGCTCGACACTGTTGTCTCAGCAAACGCTGAGGCACATGTGCGGAAAACAAACCATATTTACAGATGCAAGGATACTGAGTACTGCAACAGGAGCAGCAATGGAAAAGTTGATGCAGAGGAATTTAAAGATAGTTTTTAAAGTAAAATATGCTTGTTTCAGTAAACACAAATTAATATACACAAGGAATAGTAGGCCAACCCCACAGTTCTATTCTTCAGAGATAATTTCTGCGAGTGTTTCTGGGCAGACCTTCCTAGCTCCATCTGTCCAATCTGTGTGTGTGTGTGTGTGTGTGTGTGTGTGTGTGTGTTTGCGCGCGCGCACAAACCGGGCAGGTGATCTACTCACTTGGGCACTCAGTAGTCCTTCTGTCATAGCTGGGTTCTCAGACAAATTCAAAAGCAGCTTCAACACCTGGACCTGCCGGCGAGAGGGCTGGGTTTACTGGATCAGCAAGCACAACCCTCTTCCTAGGGTGCTGTCTTCTAACTCCCGTCTGCACCCCCAAGCCTGGCTGCAACTCTCTCTGTGAAGTCTCCACTCGGCTCCTCTGACCCTTGACACCACTCTGAGAGCAGCGAGAGCTCAGCAAATGTTCCCCAATACCGTATGTCTGGTATGTGTTCAGTCACCTCCTTTCTTCCCGAGACTGTGCTTGTGCGCACACATGTTCACATATGTGTGCATGAGAAGGCCAGAGGCAGAGGTCAGTGGTGTCTGTGATTGTCCTTTACCTCAGACATTGAGACAGTGTCCCCACTTGAACCCAGAACTCTTGGAGGTTGTCTTTTTAAAATGTGAAAGATGTTTCATGATCATTTAATTAGGAAGTAATATGAAAGTGGTCTAAATGATAATTAAAATGCTAGCATTTTTATTACTTATTTTTGAAGTCAGAAATTAAATAGAATGTTTTAAAAATCCTTAGACTTATTTTATGTGTATAGATGGTTGACTATGTATATGTACCATGTGTGTGCAGTACCTGCAGAGGCCAGAAGGGGGCATCGGAGCCTCTGGAGTTAGCAATGGTTATATGTGTGCTTGATACTGAGACCTCTGCAAGAGCAACATATGCTCCTATGTGCTGAGCCATCTCTCCAGTCTCAGAATGCCTCTTTGAAAAACACTAATCCACACTTTCTACAAGACCACTGAAATTAAAGGGAGGAGGAAGAAGAGGGCACTAAGAACAAATCTACTTTCACCAGATCCAAGAAGGAACCTAGATGTGCTTTTTCTATCTTGTTAGACAGGCAACACACATTGACTTTGGGAATCCGGGGAGAGGGTGGTGGGGTCCAACCTGGGTCTCCTGCGCTGGGCAAGCACTACCCTAAGGTCTCTCTTAGCCTGAGAACAAATACAGGAAAACAAAGAAAAAGGAAGTTTCCACGTGCGCTGTTCGCCTACAATTCCTGTGATCACATGTGGATGTGTTTATTAAGGAGAAGGCGATAAACTTTGCCTAACCTCAGTTTTACCATGTGGGTATGGAGGTGCACGTTTTTAGTCCCAGCGTCGGCAGCAGAGGCAGGTGGATCTGTGTGAACTAGAGGCCAGCCGGCTCCACA